TACCCAACCAGCATTCTCCAGAAGAGCAGCTTGACCGGGAGTTTGCGACATGTAATTTTTCATCAGTGTCATGATGCCAACATTTTCGTTTCTATCAATCACAATGGCGTTCAATTCATAGCGGATCTCCTCAAATAAATGGAGGATAGCACAATTCACTAATCTCGTGTGCGCTACAGCTCCTCCATCCGCTTTCGTCAAGCGTCCGTGTACATGCAGTGAACTCTTACTCGGCAGCAGGCACAAATCTTAATGCTGGACGGCGATGCGAATTTCATCGTTGTTGTTGAACGTTGCCGATGCAAAAGGCTGATGTGCATGAACCTCGTAATGGACGATAGATTCGTCGAAAACGATGGGCTTTTGAATTTTCAGGATCTCCTCCATGGCTTACGATGGTAGATGACAATGCAACAACAGAAGAGACTATGGATTTTCCTTTTCACTCTTTTTTTCTTCTCCTTTTTTTCTCAATTTCGAGACCCAAACTCTCGAGGAATTTTAGGTTCTAGTGTGTTAACGCCTTGAAAGGTCGTCAATGACTGCTTCGAATGGGCAATGGTGATTCACTTTTATAACGACCTCCGGATTTGGTATTGAAAACGATGCCCATATTAGGCTTTGATGTGCAATCTTATTGTTATAACCTCTTCTCTGAAATTTACCAATTGACCTTCTTGATCGACAATTCTCACTTGGAGATGATCTATTGCCTGCACGGCGATCGGGAGGTAAATGATGTTTGATGGCACCTCAATGATCTTATATCCTGGTGGAACAATCGGGAAGAACTCATGGACAGTGTGTACCGCTGTTCATTGATGTACGCTCCAGTGGTGATGTTGCACTCGACTCGCAGAGAATTGACCCTGAGAATCATCACTGGTGAGTCAGATTCATGACTGATATGGGGCGGGAGAATACCGTGTGTGGAGCCCAATAACCGCCCAATCGTATCTTCTGGATAAAAATTTATCGGGTGACTGCACTTGATTATACTCTTCAGAGTGTTATTGTTAGGCTTAAGGCTGATATTTATGTTATATTCAGCGATCTTCTCAACCAAGAAATTCTCAATATCTTCAATTTCGTAGCTCCCTGTATGTATTTGAATAACTCTATCGCCCACATAAAATTTGGTACTCCAGGTGTCAATATTGGGAATGGAATTGAAGCTTAATAGTTCAGCCAATCCCAGAGGATAATTTTTCAATGGTGATAATTCAATTGGAGGAAAGTAATGAGCCTCCAGCACCGAAGAGGTGCCTGATAATGTCAATGTAAAAGAATCACTCATCGCAGCTGATATCGAACTGATGCTTATAGAGTAACGTATTGAGGTTTTATATCATTTCTCTATTGAGAAATTTCAGACATAAATGTCCACATACCACCGTATCATAATCTTGATAGCGTTCATGATTGTACTTGACAATGCTATCAACACCGAAGTAATCCATCAGGTCTTGAGGTGGACGAAGATTACTAAAACTGTCAAAATAGATAATTTCATTCCTCCATTTCTTGTATGCGATCCAATGCGTTCCAGGCCCGTCCTTATCATCAAGATTCACAATAGCCGATTCATATTTGCGTGAACCTGACTTGGGCATTTCGTTCCTCATGTATACGCCAAGAAAATGTGGGATTCTCATAACCTTGGCGTAGTATTTCATCAAGTCGGCATCGGTGAGAGCTCAGTGTAGTAGGTTTATACGTTTTTTAAATGGAGACCCAAGCCCTTCTTGTAGGGTTTCAAGTACAATCCTTTGCCCAAGCAATGGACTGCATTGTCTCATTATGTCTCATATTCTCTTGAAGAGCTTTCTTAGCTGCATTAGCATCGTTGATGGCTTTTGTAATGCCTGCTGCACCACCAGCTAGAGCTCCGGTGGCACTGAAGCCTGCAAATAGCGGTATCAAGAAGGGTATTACACCTCCAATTTTGACGAGTACAGGTAGAACGCGAGGTAATCGTACCTGTTTTTTACCACCAATCTTTTTCAATGTAGCGCGTGCGCCTTCGAGCGCTGTCTTGATGGCGTCGGTTCCTGGACGCATAGATGTTTTGGCAGCTTATGAAATTTGTCGCAGGGACATTTTTTACTTTCTTCCACATCCACTACCACTGCGTTTCCCTTTCTTCTTCGTAACTCGTTTGCTTGGTTTTATCCCCATGGCTAGGGAAGTTTTTGCTTTCATGGTGTTAGCTATACCCCAAGCGGCAGCTTTCTCACCAAGACCTGCGTCTTTCGATAAGACTCGTTTCCGGGCTTTTTCCGTGAGAATTTTATTTGCTTCGTGTCGTGCAGTGAGGTTATCTCTATTTCTCGAATAGGCTATGTCGTGTTCTTTGCAGGCGGCTTCAAGTGGATTAATGCCAGGGTTACCCCGTTTCAATTGTTTCTGTAGTTTTGTACCGGGGCCACAATACTGGTAGCCCGGTATATGCAATTCCACAGGGAGTTTATTGATGAGACTGTTCACTAACCCTTCACCTTGACGTCCTTTCTTACGTTTATACACTTTCATGGTTATACAAGGACTGACTAGTGATGAGATCAAAACCGTGTATTTATAGGTCAGCCACTGAACTGGTGGTAGATACTGAGCAAGCATGATGATGCTCGAGCATTAATGGCCATCGAATCGGAAATCTATAAATGACAGATATTCATCATTCTGCAGTCAGTCATCCACCATGCGCTTCAAAGAGCAGAACACTAAACTACCAATAATGAACTTTGATGAGTTGACGCGAAAAACGAAGACTAGGGAGCGACGTCATGGGCCTCGATTACCAAACAGTGTGCGTGCAGTCATCTGTGGACCCTCAAATTGTGGAAAAACAAACGCTCTATTAGCGCTCATAGTCCACCCCAAAGGTTTGAGATTTGAGAATATCTACGTGTACTCAAAATCTCTCAATCGACCCAAGTACCAGTTACTCAAACGTCTGCTCTTCCCTGTTAAGGGTATAGGATATTTCTCCTTCAGTGAGCATGAGGAAGTCATCAAGCCAGAGGATGCCCGACCAAATTCCATCATGATTTTCGATGATGTGGCCTGCGAGAAACAGGATAATGAGCATTCTTCTGCATGGGATGACATAGAAATGTCGACAGTTTCTATCTCTATCAAAGATATGCTCACGTACCTAAACATCTCGTGCGGGACAACACCAATCTCCTAATACTCTTCCGCCAAGACGACATGAATCTGAGGCACATTTATGAGGATCATGTGAATACTGATATGTCATTTGCTGAGTTCAAGGACTTATGTGCCAAGTGTTGGAATGAGGGGAAATACAGTTTCATGGTGATTGATAAAGACAGTGAAATTGATGAGGGCAGATATCGAAAAGAATTCGATAGTTTCCTGAAGAGATAAATACGCTTCATTCACAGAGACTGAGAGTAGTTGTTAGCCGAATGCACAACTGTCAACATGCAGAGCAAAACTAGCAAGAAGGAGATGCATATCCTGCGAAATATTGCTCAGGCGAGTAATGTCATTCGCCGCAAGCATAAAATGATAAAGTTGGGTAGAGCGACCACAGAGAAAGCTGTGAGTGAAGTGCTCAAACCAGTGATAACTCCTCTTGAAAAATTAGTAGATCAGTCGGTAATGAAGGAATCGTCACATAAGAAGCACGAAGGGAAGAAAATATTCGCTACTCCGACACGGATGAAGGAGGAGAAAGATGACGATTTTGATGATTCTTCTGAATATCAAACTCTGGTAGATCTCCCATTCAACATAGTAGAAGCACATTTAAGCACTCCAATGAAGAAAATATCACCAATAAAAGTCACGACTCCAACTGATCGTATTTCATCAACTAAGCTGGAATCTCCTATAGCCTCACAGAAGCATCTTCAAACGTATTTGGATCGTTATAATACAGAGCGTGAAGATAGCGATTTGGATAAGGAATTTGGTATTCGTTACCTGAAAAGTGGTATAAAGATTGATGATTCATTGGTCACGTTCCATAGAGATTCAATGACCCTCAAGGATGAGGAATATACATTGATTCCAGGTTTAATCAAATTGATCTTTAAGAAATCACCCAACATGAGTCTCATGACCGAAACCGATAAACATACCTACAGTGATATCATACGGAGTACGAATGCACATCGAATGTACTACACACCAAATGGAGCTCTTCGAAAAAGTAACATGATAAAATATCATATCATTATTCAAGAGCTCATCAAATCTAAGAAAACTGCAACGGCTGAAACCTAGGACAATGGACTATGTTTACTGGGACGATCCTAATGAGCTGGTGGATAGACTTCAACTGCTTATGGCATCACAGTCAGCCGGAAATATGAGTCATACCAATGAAATTATGTCAATAATCGAGGAATTACGTGAAGCTGATATTATTTATTGAGCTGTAGTCGTAATAATCCCATCATTTGAAACATGAGTGTCGATGTGTTCGGATGCCAGTTGGGCACTGGTGCTGTGAGAACTATCAGTAGCTGAGGTCCTCCAGGTGAAGGATTCAAGGTCACCCTGATGGACACTACGATATGGATCATCGGAAATTATGTAATTTGGTAGATCCTGAAGAAGAGAATGATGCTACATCTTTGAAGATATTGCGCAGTATGTTGAAGGAGGAGCTTCGTCTCATATATAATGTGACTGGATCCATGGGTGGTAGAATTGATGGGATTGAAACGATGATTGAATCATTTCGAGCGAATTTCCTGGAGACTATAAGACGAAGAGGTGTTAGTGAGGAGGAAGTACAAGAACGTTTGAGCAGTCATTCTGAGAACATCCAACGTCTAACGAGGAGCTGACAACACTAAAAGATTCAGTCATACATGAGACGAAGTTGATGATAGATGGTTTATATTCACTGATAAATGAGCAATTGGAAGGAATAAGAAAAGAAGAAACGACTAACCAGAATTTGGCACTACGCAATTCTGAAATAATTGGTGATCTCGATAGACGTCTAATTGCACTGGAGAATGGACGATAAAAAGGCGACAGTAGTGCAGGAGCTCCATAGACCTGCTCGCAGGAATTATGCTCGTCGACGTGTTGAAGTCCGCGGGGTGGATGAGACATGGCAGGCAGATCTTGTGGACATGAGTGCCTATGGTCGTGAGAATGGAGGTTACAAATACCGCCTAACAGTTATCGATGTCTTCTCGAAATATGCCTGGGCTGTGCCGACCAAGCCGAAGAATGGGAAGGATGTGAGCAGTGCTATGGCCTCCATACTTGAACAGGGTCGTGTACCACAGAAGCTGCATGTGGACAGAGGCAAAGAGTTTCACAATGGCGAATTCAAAAAGCTGATGCAAGATTATGAGATTACCATGTACTCAACCTTTAGTAATCTCAAAGCATCAATCTGTGAGCGATTCAATCGCACACTAAAAGAGCAGATGTGGAAACAGTTCAGCTTACAAGGAACATATGAGTGGATTCCTATAGTGAAGAGTCTCGTTCAGTCCTATAATGACACAAAACATCGCACTCATTTTTCGAAATTTTTTTCTTTCATTTACAATAACCATATGGCACAGTTTCATGAGAGTTTGAGCAGAGTATTCTCTTGTCATCTTCCTAGCTTAGAGCTAATTTCTTCTGGTGTATAGTATGCATACTTTTGATTAAATACTGGGACTCAATAAAATGTTCATGATTCTCCAGACAATCTTTGTAATCATCGAACGTAATCCTTTTCATCACCATGAATTTTAAATGTGTACAATTTTGCTCTCAAACCAACAAACTCCCTCATAACTTTTCCATTGCACTCATCCTTCATAAGTCCTAATGCTTTCTTATTCACGAGCGGCGTTCCATAAAGATTATTGCTTGGATAATCGGATGTATCAAATCGAGCAATATCACGTTTCATACATTCATAAATATCAGGTACTTTGAACTCGTACAAAAGACTGTCTGTATCCGTATACATGAGTTTAGCACTATCACCAAATTCTCGTTTAATATAATCGTAATGGAAATCATAAATGCATATTTTGGATAGATCCAGAATTGAGAAACCAACATAAATGGGTTTGTTGAAGTACATTTTTGTACGCTCCAATTGAACAATGACTAAATCATCAGCGAAGATGGTGCAACTGTGGAAGTTGGGATGAGCGATGCGAACTTTGGCACCATATCGCCCCTCCCATTTCGTCACCAACTTCACGTCTTTTTGTTTCCTGACATTCTCAATGGTTTTCCCGAAAACTAAATTGTTCATCAATTTGAAGAAATCCTTTTCAAAATCATTGCTCGATTGCTTTTTCAATTCTGTATTGAAGTCAATGTACGTTTTCAGCCATGGTGCTTGGTTAAATTCCAGTACTCGGTGAATTTTCGTCAATTTTAGCCCCAAATTAACATATTGAACTTGCGATTCTCATAGTGAATCACATAGTTTTTCTTAGGAAGCAATGTCGTCATTAATTTCGAGATTTTCTCATTTGGGGGAACGAAATGTTCCGGACAAAGTGGTAACTCTTTGTAGGTCTCAAAGAGCTCCTTGGGATACTCCAAGTCGACCTCAAGCATGTAGCCTTTGCTCGAATCATCTGCAATTGTATGGATATCAACGATTGATGCATTAACCCACTGGAATGAGCCATAAGGCAAATACTGGGACATGGCTGCTCCGTACAAGTTGTTCACATCGAAGTATATTAGATAAGAAGTCTCTTTGTTGGGGTCGAATTTTTCACCCATGTACTTATTGTTGGCACAAGCGTACCGATTGGAGCATTGAGCCATCCCTCCTCGAATCCCCTTCTCAATGAATAAGTCCATCTCAATGTCTGTGAGAAGCTCAAGGTTGACACCAGTGCATTTCAGCATAGCATCAAATACTAATCCTGATGCCGTATAGTAATGAAGGGGATGGAGTTTGTACACCGAAGAATAAATACGTCTGAAATTTTGGAAGATGTCCACCAAAAGCACGACATCTGTTGTCAGGTAGAGGTCGGAGTATTCACCCAAAGATGTGATTCCAAAAACATCCCAAACTCTCTGCGCATGCGCATAATCCTCAGCAGAGACACTCTCATCATTCAATTTTGAATAGAATTTCTCGATGGGGGGCAATTCAGGGTTATTGAGCTTCTCCCAAGAGTCCACGTACTCGTATGGGAAAACTCCTTTTCTAGTCAAAAGCTGAAATTTCTCCACATCGTCATTGCAGTATTTTTGAGTAATGGAATTGTCAGAATCATTGAGGTAGGATGCCAATTTCTCCAAACTACTCGCCATGAACCGGAACGAGTCAATGAACTGAAATCGAACCTCAGTCTCATCAACGTCTTTCGTGAAGATGTACTTTTCCATTTTGAGAGGGAGCAGATCTACTGAACTTGGGAATTGTGTTGCAAGAGTCTTGATGAGAAAATGTGAGTCGTAGCCGGAGAGGTTATGAAAAACTACTGNATCTACTGAACCTGGGAATTGTGTTGCAAGAGTCTTGATGAGAAAATGTGAGTCGTAGCCGGAGAGGTTATGAAAAACTACTGGGATCGTGTGAGAGTTCTTGTAGTTGACATTACATCCCGGGTGTGGCGAACCGCGATACTTGCCCGTGAAGTGGCAAGCGGTGTTGCTTATCAGTTGGACTGGAGGGTTTCTCGCAAATGTGACAAACTTGAGCATTAGCAAAGTCCCGAACTTGCTGAGGTGTGAGAGGCTCCATCGGTACGTTTCTCTTTAAACAGGTATCGACCTCATGAGCTATTCTTAGCAATTCATCTATGAACCATTCGATACAATCGGGCCCACGATTCATCTTGAATTGTGATCGAGTATCATCAAAAGCACAATGCAAGTAAAACGCTACACTATGAGGGATGTGCTTCTGATACACCGATTCAGATTTAGTTGGTTCCAAGATGCACTCCAAATCTGCATAGATAACAAATGGAACCATTTCCTTAAATCGATAATTTTTAAAACTCAGAATATGTTTACCCTCTTCTGGTAGCACCATTCTGTACTTGTTAATCTCAATACAGTCTTTCTCATAATTCTTGAATGATGGTTTTGTGACAAAATGGCCTAAACAGTGATCACAAAACTCTATATGATGATTATGACTGGATAATTGTGAACTTACTAATCGAGACAAATTCTTAATCCAAGCGAAATGATAGATGGGTTGCGTATCGTATTCTATTTTACATTATCCCAAAGCAACAAGACATGAATCGTGGGCCAGATAGACTTGGTTTTATTTAAATATGGAGGTACAATGTCTTTATCATCATTTATACTCTAAACATTGATCGATAGTCCATTCATTCGCTCGAATTTCGGAATGTTCTTCAATTGCATCGGGAACTCCAGACCGGTGTAGTTGAGATGTGCGACTCCATCCGGTAGAATAGCCTCAGAGTAATGAGGATATGAGCTTAGACGATCGGAATGCATTGTAGCTGGGTGTACCGCTGCTGTCACCGCCCACAGAAAACAATGCTCCTCATTGTTCTTGATGAGATGAATGCATTCGCGCCCGCTGCCAGTGACACATACTTGTTGATGTTGAGAGTGAGTTCATAACTTCAATCAGTTCCCACCCTGAGTCTTTCTCCTGGAAATCCTCAATTTTAGTGAGCAGTCGTTCTGTGAGATTCTGATCGAACCAGTCCTCGATATTGGTGGTAGGTAAAAGGATCTGATTTTTGGTGTTGAAATATTTTGTTTCTTCAATCACTTCACCATTCTTCTTCACTTGAAACTTGCAGGCGAGGACTCCATTTGCCTTGATATTTCCTTGTTGTTGTAGAGCCTCCTACAAACGAACGACTCCCAGACATTTGCCATCTTTCAGGAAAGACTGAGGATCCTTGTGACTCAGATTAACGATCACTCCTGTTCTGATTCGGTTCTTGAAAGCGGATTCTAGATCCTTCCAGAGTACTCCATCTTTTGGTTTCGATGGGACACCGATTACTCCACCATGCTGTAGCCTCTTCTTCTCTTTGAATCGTTCGCAATATGTGTGGAGCAATGAAACTGTTGTCTGTATCCTTATTTTTTCTCCAACGGAAAGATTTTCAATTTTCTTCAAAGCTTTCTCGTAAAGTCGGATATAATGTTGACACTTTTCAATCCAACGATTAATATCTTGAGAGGATGCACTCTTATATGCCAACTGCAGCCTCTCCTACACTTCCAAGCACGACTTGGGATCCATTCTGATGTGATCACTTATAAATATACAAACACGAAAAAACCTTGTTTGCTAGCTGGCGACTTGCTAACTGGCCGGAGTCGCGCGATCCGCGTGCCTTTTATAGGGAAGACCTAAGATAATTTCGTTCGGTTCAGATAAAATTGCAATGATTTCCGATTTCGATAATTTTCCAAATAATTCCATACAACGAATTCTATTGGTGTAGTGAAATTCAGATAAAATCAAGATAATTCTTCTGGATGATTTCCCTAGATAATTCTATACAACGAATCCTATTGGTGGAGAGAGATTCAGATAAAGTTTGAGATACAGTTCTAGATAATTCTTTTAGATGATTTCCCTAGATAATTCTATACAACGAATGCTATTGGTCGAGCGATTCATTGAGAATTTCAGATAAATTCCAAGATAATGCTTCTAGAGAATTTCCTTAGAAAATTCCCTAGATAATCCTATACAGCGAATCCTATTGGTCAAGAGCGGTTCAGATAATACTGAAGTCTTTCTAATCTCAGAAACCTTTCGGAAGGAAATTCTCAAAATATGTGCGCATTTTCTATAGGAATGGATAATGCTTCACTTAGTCGAGATGTACGACGCGATTCTACAGGAACGAACATGTTTCATTAGATTGACAACGATTCCGAGAACTGTTTGCATCGCGACCTTGGAAGTATTTACATCTAAGTGCAGTACAAACTACGCAATTGGGATAAACACGTTCCCAGGTTGCATTCCATTGGTCGTAAACAATTCTTGGAACTGTTTACATCACGGCCTTTGAAATGTCGACGTTTGAGCGCAATCCAAATTACGCAATTCGGAGAAACACGTTCAAAGTTTGCATTCCATTGGTCGTGAATGATTCTTGGAAAACTTTACATGGCAATCTTCCATGTGTCGACGTTTAAGCGCAGTACAAACTACGTAATTTAAGCAACAGCGCTTCAAGGTTGCATTCCATTCTTCGTAAACAATTCTTGGAACTATTTACGTCGCAACCTTAGAAGTATTTACATCCAAGTGCAGTACAAACTATGCAATTCGGATAAACACGTTCCAAGGTCGCATTCCATTAGGTGTAAATAATTCTTGGAACTGTTTACATCACGATCTTCCAAGTGTTGACGTTTACGCGCAGTGCAAACTGCGGAATTTGGATAAACACGGTCCAAGGTTGCATTGGGCGTGAACAAATATTGGAACTGTTTACGTCGCGATCCTAGAAATGTTGACCCATTGTTATGGGAAAATATATGCCTGCATTTCTTTCAATTTGCCTTCATCCTTGGAAAATCAAAATTCAGTACCACACAAACATCGCGATGCGGTATTCAAAAATCAGAATGCAGCATTCGGAAATCAGAAAGCAGCATTCAGAAATCACAATGTACGATTC